TGATGTTTTATACTATCCGTCATCTTTTCTAGCGAAGAATTGATTCCTTCGTATTTCAACATTTCTATAGTTTGGATACTGTCGAAAAGAGGGCGATAGTCACAGTTGTCGTCCTAACGCCTCTTTCACACGGACGTTGTTTTGCCGGTCGGTAGCCGACCGTCAGACCTGATGGCGACGTTTCTGTGTGTAAAGCTCTATTTAACTATGTGTAATTTAAAATTTTAGTCGTTGTTTTGCCGATCGTTTTAAATACCCTCGGCAAGCAATAACGTCCATGTGAAAGAGGCGTAACGGCTCTTACACGGACGTTTGCCGATCGGCATTTAAACCGATCGGCGATCGGCAAAACAACCGACTACATTTTAAATTACACATAGTTAAATACATTTTTACACACAAAATCGTTGCCGGCAAGTGTGATGATCAGCTGCCGATCGGTAAAACAACCCTCGTGTGTAAGAGGGGTAAGGTATATTTTACCGACCCAGAGTCGGACTAACTTGTTTGAGTTGCATTTGCGCCGATTTTAGATAATATAAAAGAATGCTGTTACGAATACTGTTAAATAGTAGTACGTTAAAATACTACAATTTTAACAACTAAATTAGTCTGATAGTAAAAAAGAGCTATAAACTCATAAATAAATTACAGTAAAACACGTATTTTGATGACAATCCAGATAATACAATCGAAAGTTACTTAAGAGCTTAAAACATTTTGGAAAACAGTAAGCTTTTATTCAAAAATTTCATCAATGCTAGGATGCTAACCGTAATTTGTAAATGCTATTTGGGGGTGAGGTTAAATGAACGAGCAAAGGGAACTTTTAGTTCAAAAATATTTTTTAGTTTTGGTTTTACCGGTAGATTTTATAAAAGTTATAACAGTTGCTAGGTCGATTTGTATTTATTTTTATTTCTGAAAGAAGCAAGTTCGGATTCAGCGGAAAATTGTACTAAACATAGGTGGGTTGAATGGCTAGTTTGGATTTTTTTAATTTTTGGGGAATTGAGGGTGCGTCATAATTTTTTTTATAATTTTCGGATTCAGCGGAAAATTTTACTAAAGATAGGTAGGGTCACGTTTCAAAAACACACGATTTTTTTTTGTCGGCCTGTGTAATCAATCTGTTATTATTTCAGCCAAATGTGAAAATGAAGTAGAATATAAATGCAATAAGGTGTTGGATATTTTAAGTAACTGGTACGCTTTTTACAAACAACATTGCAATTAAATACTAAATTGTGTGACATATTTATTTTAAGTAATAAGCGATAATGAATACCATATTTTAGACGCCAGTCTAGGTTGAGGTTTGCTTTGAGCTTATGTGGCGAAAATTTTAATTTGTATAGCAGGTGTTGTAAGTGCAGTGTGTTGCTTGTTTATGTAGTATGTAATGTAAAAATTTACAACATGCAAATTATGAAAATTTACCACTCCGTTCCTTGTAAAATAAGATTCGTCGGTACAAAACAATTTTAAGCAAATTATTATCTTCTGCGAAGCCATGCACCAATCAGCGGCAAAATTGTAAACGTGCGTTGGAATTTAAGTTTTCAAGTTCTTGAGCAGGAGTTAAATGAAATGGCCGAAGAAATAGCTTTTTTAAAGTTTTGTGAAAATTAGTATTACACACATTTAATTCTCTTGATACACTGCGGACACTTCATAATTTGCATGTGTGGAGTGATGAAAATCCTAAAGAATCACGACAATAATGACATTACCTGATAGCCACAGCAATCAACATCTTGTTTTCACCGCCTACTGAACACAAAGTTTTAAATCCGTGACACTGCTAAGCAAACCGAAACGTACAGAACTGCAAATAATGACATTTTTCTCAAGAATGGCTTTCTGTAAGCTGCCCGTTTTAAAAATATACGGCCACTGTAAATGTTTTGACCACTAAAAGGGAGTGGTAACCGGAGAAAACTATCATCCAGTATATAGATTTGACTAAAGCTTTAAGAAATAATATGCCATAATAGTCTAAATAAATGTGCCAAATTTTAATGCGATCGGTAAAAGGGTTATGAAGTTATTAATTAAATAAGTTTTATTTTTGACAACTGAAGGCCTGTAACTCAAAAACCAAAAAGTTTTTATTTAACTTTTTTTCGTAGATCGTATTTATTTATCGTTCTGAATATGTAGTCAAACGTTGTGGGTGAAATTTGCGGACACCCTGTATAAAAATTAAAATCGATATACATTTTTAATAATTGTCACATTTATTCTTAAAAAAAATATTTGTATACTTATTTATTTGCTAGTTGCAAAGAATATTTACATGGAGATGCGTATTTATTTTTTATATATTGACACTGTTAAACATAACCGAAAAGAAAATTCGCTTGAATTTTCCAAATCGAATCGGTGTAACTCGGTGTAAACCGGGTAAAGTAAATCAGGGAAAATCTCAATTTTTCGAGCGTGAACTTTTTAATACGTTTTCATTTCTTTAAAAGGTTTTCTCTGGAAGCGCAGTGTAATTACACCACACAATAATAACTCGTTAATAATTAAGTAGGCGGTGCTTTGTGCTTCCCAGCCAGCGAGGAAGGGTGAATTATGATAAGCGATATAATAAAAAATAATTCCGCTGCCGTCAAAAAGTTTTCACCGTGCTGCAGCCCTACCCTTTCTTTTATTCCTGCCATTCTCAAACAAAGGGATCGCAGTGTGAAGGACGTGATTTACGTTTCATTTAAATTCTTTACAGGGAGAATTTTTCCATTGAGATACACTTTAATTTAGACCTTTTACTGGAATGGTTTTATGCAACAAAAGTAAACCGTCATAAATATCATGATATTTCCGTGTTAGATAAATAGTTTGTAAAAGCATTGTGTGTCGGTAATATTTAAAATTAACATTGTTGTTATTTTCAAATATTTAAAAATATTTTTCGAAAACTATTAAAAAATCGACTTGACAAAATGAAAGCTTATCAGCATATTTTTCAATAAGAGATAAAATTGCCGTTTTCTTCGTGAGTGTACAAATTGGGTCAATGCTGCGTTAGTAACAAGCGGAGCAAGTTCAGGAACGAATATAACGGGTGTTTTTTAACCTGAAACTTTCAAATATCTCGAGAAATAAGCACCCTACGAAAAAATGTCAATAATCAAAATTTCATCATACTCTTTGGTGAATGTAGGTTTTAACTGTATTTAATTGCGTTTTGTGTTCATTCTTGTCCTTTTTATTGCTCTGTTTATTGTATTTATTTGTTTTTAATCTTGCTCTCTTTGGCACAGGAGGTGTTGAAAATCAACTTTGTTGATACACTTTCCTTTTGTGAAAAACGTTGTTTATACCTCTTTTTTGCAATAAATGTAAAAAATTCATTAATGTTATAATTAGTCCCTATCTTAATACCCTTGTAGGTGGCAGGGGGGGGTAACTTTGAAATCTTAAATATGAACTACCGTTTTTAATGCAGATTCGAATTACACGGCTAAAAGTACGTGAGATTTTTCTGAAACATTTTTTTCTGTTGATGACAGCTGCATTCGACGAAATTCAATTTTTATCCATTTCTTCTACTGAGAACCTATGTACGTATATGATTCTGCAATGTGTTTGCAATAAGAAATATCACGTTTTATGTAAATACTCGAAATTCGCCACCAAAAAAGTTTATTTATTTTGTAAATTTCGAATAACTGGGAAATTGCTACCTGTCATGTCTCAGAAGTCACCAATATATTTCTCGGTACAAAAATACAGAAAATCGAAGGCACTATTAATAGATAATTTGAAAATTGATATTGAGAAAAGAATTTTGGACATAGACACTGTAGAAAACGTTTTCTTTCTTTTAAAGAAAAATTGTATGTGTCACTTTATGGCACATCGAGATTATTGTCTCTAGCCACAACTAAAGTTGTGTATAAGAAGGGGCCTCCAACGAAACTCCCTAAACAATAGGTCAAAAACTGTTTAGTATTCCTGGACCTATCGTTTTCGGTCTTCAGTAATGATCTTTCTACTAGTTTTAGTATATAAAGTTGAAAACAGGGAATCCAGTATACTTTGTGACTGTAAATACACTAAAATACCTTTCCTTTTGACTGTCATCATCATTTTGATTATGCCCATGTCGGTAATCCAACTATAAGTCTGTCTGACTTATTTTTTAGAATAGAAGAAATATTCAAATTCATTTCTTGTTTCTGGAGGGGGTTGACCCAATACATTTCTAAAGGAAAGGTGTTTTTGGTGTGTACAATCCTTCCTTCCTTTTTTCCTAGTGGTTGGTCCTAAGTCCCATGGCACCGCGGCCTAATTAGGCCTATTGTGCGTCCCGCTACTAGCCCTATTCAGCAAGTAGTTTTGTCCTTTTGACAAAGTCCAAAAGCTTCCTTGCTGACACTTCTCTCAGTTCCTTGGGTTCCAAATAAGATGTCCCCAGGAGCGTTATTCTACTACATGCAAATCCCGGGCACTTGCCCAGGATATGCAGAGAAGTTTCATCTGGCGACTCGCATCCTCTTAAAGTGACAGTGTCCCGTTATGAGTCCCGTCACTCTCCTGAGCCAGATTTTATTCAAGCTCAGTAAATCGTTTGCTCTTTTCTTCGAAGGATACTTCTTAAGCTCCTTAGAATGGCTATGTCCTGGCCTTGAAATCCAGTATTCCATGTTCTATCTCGGTCCATTTGCTCCGAGCCCGCCTGACCACATTGGGAGATGTACCACAAAGGGCTGCGGGCCAACGAACTCTGTCTCGGATCCTTTCCTCATTTCCACAAATGCATTTGTGCCCCAACACAGTCTAACTGTATTATTGGTGGCCAGTTCAGTTAGCATTTGTAAACAATCCCACACAAGTTTTGCACAATACTTTCAATTATAGCTATCTACTGAATGGCCTGTTTTAAATTTAAGACGCAATTGTGTTAGATTGTCTCATTTTTTATCACACAAACTGTTCATGTATTAATTTTATGCTACTGGTATACATACAGCTTATATAATTTTTTTTAGGCAAGAGTGAAAGAAACACGCCATAGGGCTTTGGTTTCTGAAGTCCTGCGAGGAATGCAACCTTCGGTGCGACCTTATTGTCAGTGGATCTCTCTTATCCTTGACATCCTTCCTCTTCTCGCCAAGATAATCATGCCACCTTTGAGGCCTGTTAATCTTCATCTTTACACCAAACAGGAGAGGGAGAGCATGCTAAATGTTGTCCACGTCATGATAGATTATAATTTGAACTATATCCAGGAAAGAACACTTGATGGGACATATTCGTATAATTTAGGTAAAGAATGAAAATTTTTGATACTTTTTTACTTGTACCCACCATAGTGAATGTTAAATTTTCTATATAATCATCTATGTCAACATAACTTGTACTTTTATTAACGCAAAAAGTTCATGAACTAGTAGTCAATTCTGACTCCTACGGAAATACAAGGTGGGCTAAAAGTACCGGAATGGCAGGAGATTGGGAATATTCAAGGGGTAGGATAGAAGTAAAGCACTAGAGATTCAGGATTTTTCCCTGGCTATCCGATGGTGACCTTGAATTTGACTTGGACCATGACCTTCAAGGTTATATTAAGGTCACGAGATTTTTTTTAATGGGACCCCATAATTTTGACCCCGGAAATGGAAAGAAAATTTCGGATATGACCTTGAAATGATCATGAAGGTCAAATATCAAAAGGTCACAAAGAGGTCCAAGTACCAGAATGGCAGATTAACCCCTCCAGAAAAAATGTTCTCTACAATAGTTCTAGGATTCTTGATGGGCACTAAACCGGTGACCTTGGATTTGACCTCCGCCCTGACCTGAAATTCCTTATCCTCCGGTAATTTCAAGGTCAAGTTGGTTATTCTGTTACCCTCAATGACTACTATTGTCCACTCAAGACCTTCTATTACCGTCGGTGACCACTGTTGATTTTCAATGACCGCCTTTTACCTTTGGTGATCACTATTGACCAATAGTGACCAACTGTCAGGGCGGAGGTCAAATCCAAGGTCATCGCTTTAGTACCCATCAAGAATCCTATAACTATCGAGGAGAAAAACATTTTTCCTGGCAGGTTATTCTGATATTCCGGTACTGTTGGACCACTTTGGGATTTTTTAATATTTGACCTTAATGGTCAGTTCAAGGTCATACCCGAACGTAAAATTTTGCGCTAACTCCATTTCCGGAGTCAAAATTGTGGGGTCCCATTTAAAAAAATTCTCGTGACCTTGATATGACCTTGAAGTTATGGTCCAGGTCAAATTCAATGTCACCGTGGGATCTTTTACAGCTGTTTTATACAATTGGTCAAGAAGAATTTTGATAGATGTTTTAAAAAAAAAAAATTGACAATCTTTCATTATATAACGTTTATATCTAAAAAGAACACACCACAAAAGGCTATAAGTCTTTGATTTAATTTAAAACATTATATATTGGTTAAAATATATTCAATATAATAAGTTTCATTTTAAATATGTAGTGCAATATTACAATATCTATTTCCTAAAATATTCTACAGGGTGTTCTACGAGCTCTATGACAAACTTTGACAGATGGTAGCTGGTTAATTTCAAACATTTTGTGTTATATGAAACGATTCGTTTTTGTTTAGAAGTTACAAGCATTTTATCTAATTAATTTCATATTTCAATCAAAGTAGCCTGATAAATAAAAATGATGGTTGCTATAACAGTAATTATTATTTGTGTCACGTTGTTTATTCATTTGACACTTAGCGTTAAAGTGCTAAATAAAAAAGAGTATGTAGATATTGTCTGTGTGTGGGTATTCCAGTGGGAACGCCAGACAAGCAGCCCGAGAATACCGCGTTCCCCAGATCTAAATCCTTTGGATTTTTATTTATGTCGACATATGAAGCAGCTTGTCTATCTACCATATTAAAATCACTACCCGTCAAGAGATACTTCTTAATTCCGAGAGAATTCCAAGGGTGGACATGTCGAACAATTTTTATAGTCTTAAGATTTGTTAATTTGGTTAATAAAGGTTAACTAATGTTTAAACTTAAACACAAATAATAATTACTGTTATAGCAACCATCATTTTTCTTTATCAGGCTACTTTGATTTAAATATGAAATTATATATTTTTAAATGCTTTTAACTTGTAAATAAAAACTAGATAGGATATATTGTTAATAAATCGAGGCTTATGTATTTTATAATAGTGCAGTCAATTGTAACAAAAAAGTACAAATATACAATCTGTTAAGTATGTCATAATCCCAGAATGGCTTGACCAATTTAGTCTAAAAAGCATTAACTGCTGTTAAGGTTTTTGAGCTGCAGGATGTCGGAATTTTATGAAACATCACGTTTACTCAAATATGAAATTATTTAATTAATTGGGAATGTAGAATATAAACATTATGTGAGAGATGCTGGTAGACACTGTTAATAATAACTGAATATTGCTCTGTACATGAATTTTTTTATTTTTGTCGATTCCATTTAAATAAATTTGTAATTCTATCAAATAATTTTTAGTTGTTTTATTAATCAAGTAGTTTTAGGTTACTTTTGATTTATTTAAGTGTGTGACAAGATTGTTAAAAATTGTGTATAAATTTAAAATGGCTGATTTTTCCCATAAAAGTAAAAAGATTATTTTTCTCAGACTTCGAAATTAGTTTTGTACAGATTAAGTTTCCATAATATTCATTGGCGCCAAAATCCTGAGGTTTTTCGAATAAATCCGCCATGACATTTTTAGAGAATTTAACAAACATGAAGGAAAGAAAAAGTTAAATTTAAACATTTTTTTTCTTACATAAACATTTGCCATTGAAACCTTATTGGTTAAGGTTACGTAGTTAACAGAAATGTTATATTTCTAGATATTTTTGGAAGAAACAAAATTTTGTATAATATGTAAATAATATAATATTTAGTGTAAAAGAAAGAATTAATTATTTTATTGCTAGAAGACCTATGGAAAAGTATATTGGGATACAGACATGTCTTTTTAAATATATTTTTAAAATCAGATAAGTAATTAGTATGAATTTATCTAAACGTATCATTTTTACAAATTGTTCATTTGTATTAAAAGGAAAAAGCTTTGCAAAAAACGGCAAGTGATCTATTTCGTTCAAAATAAAATTTGCATTTCATAAATGATATTCTTTTCAGTTGTATTTCAATATCACTATACATATATTCAAAAAAATATTTAAAGATTTTTCTTTTCTTACCCACATAAATGAGGGCTTTTAATAGTTCACTTACCTTATCATTAATTATTATAACCCTACATTTCTTTCAGAACCTAATATACTGGACGTTGTTTCTTTCGATAATAGTGAACGGTCAAAAAGAAGAACTTTGTCATATTCCAACATGCAGCTTATAGCTAGAGAAATTGAATTGGAAAAGATGAGGCGGTTTGAGACGTCAAGAGTACCTGAAACATCCAAGAAAACAACCACTGAGAGCGATAAGGCAAAGGAGAAAAGGAAAGGAGTTACTGCTCTACCGAACCACCTGCAAACTCTACAAGCTAAAACTATGAAGACTGTAAAGCCGGTGAGTGATTCTAATTTATTTAATTTTTTTATTGATCTATTTGAAATTTTATTATCATGGGGGTTGATGCTTTAATTTACCTAATTTTTGAGGTGGATGTTTATCAAACCAGGTAAGTACCATATTTCTTTTACTGTGCTGACAAAAAGTAATTAGTTACATACAATGGTACACAACAAAATAATTTGATGGTCGTATTCTAATTAATTCAAAATTGGGACATAGTTAAAAGTACTTATGATTGATAAATAGTATGTTATATAGTGCGACCCATTTCAAATGGGAACACCCCTATTAAATAGGTATTTATTTACCGATTTAATTTGTTATTTTTTAAAGATGGAATTTATAGAAATCTACTAAAATATTTAGATAGTAATTACATACTAGTACCAGTATTTGAAAAATTGTTGGAAATGTAAAATTTCAATGCATATGCGCTTGAAAAATTAACGTTACAAATACGTTCCTATTTACTTTATTTTAAAGGTTAAAGGTTAAAACTAGGTAACTCACGTAAATTTAAAAAACATTTTTCTAAAAAATCCTATCAAAAGAAGTCAATGTTCTCTTATACCAAAAATCTAGGCATGGAAAATATATCGTTACATACAAGATTTCTAACTGTTGGTATTGTGGAAACAACTACTCCATGGGCTGCGTGCCCCAGCTAATATTGAATTATAGCAACAATATCTAGTAAATTACTACTAGATAATAATTATCTAGAATAAAAATTAAGAAAACACGTACCTGACATAATGAAATTGCTAAATAATGTAATTTAAAAAAAATATCCTGTACCTACTTTTGTTGTTCCAACGTCGTCCTTGACAGAGACCAACGCATAAAAATAGCCACCATACACTCATAAAATTTTTTTATGTAAAATTACATGTTAGATCAGTGGTTATTTTAAAGTCACAGTAATTAAGGTAAAATTACGTTATACAAGTAAAATTACATTATGCATGCAATTTTACATTTTTTTGTAATTCACCCAAAACTTAAATTTACATTATCGACATAATGTAAATTTACGACTCCTAAAGTGCAATTTTACTAAGACACAGGAAAACTCCATAGTATTTTTAAAAAGAAAAAAAATCTATAGTCTGTTTGGAAATGAAAGAGAGTAATAAAACCCCGAGATAAGAACCGGCCATGGGCGTGGTAATATTTCGTTTCAGGTAATTATCGGGTAACACTAATGCTAACAGGTAATGGGTGTACATTAGTATATTTTACTGGATACATCATAGGGCAGGAGCCAGTGAAATATACTAATGTACACCCATTACCTGTTAGCATTAGTGTTACCCGATAATTACCTGAAACGAAATATTAGCACGCCCATGGCCAGTTCTTATCTAGTGGATATAA